CTAACCCCACATTTTAAGAATTATTTTCACGTACTTATAAATAAAAGTAAACAATTTTATATGTAGGACTAAGCAAGTAAATGTTATAAGAATATTTACATGTGGAATTATATATAAAAAAGATAGTATTTTCGTAGATTTCAGTACCTAAAACCTTAATGGTTTGATCGTTTTTTGCACCTGTTTATTCGTTTTACTGCGGCGTCTTTGAAAATACTCAGGTGGCATGACATAACATTCCTATTATTTGATAAGCTTTAGATTATTCAGTTATTAAATGTTTGAAATTATTTGTCTTTGCGGAAAACACTATTTAAAGAATATGGTAAATTTTTGTCACATTATTTCATTTTCTGTTGATATCTGAAAAGGCGGTAAACACCCCATTAAAAAAAAAGTAAAAGTGAAACTAATTCGAGCGGCAGCTGTGACGTACTGTCTTAATTGCGTTGTCTGTTAATGGGAAGCACAACTAAAATCTCATATTCTTTTATTAAGAGTATAAGAGACGGACAGATAGGAGTTACACATAAAAGAAGTTTTTTATAATAACATGTCTGCACCATTGAAATACAAATTTTTAATATCAAACAGAAATATGTGTAAGGAGTTTTCAGCGATATTGCTCGTACAGTTTGTATTAACTTTCATTGTAGAATGGTATTCAGTGACACAATACATTACACATTTTTTTATACAAATGCCCCATTGTATATAAAATGCAAAATAGGCAAATTTTAGTATCAAAACAAAATTTACTCGGAATAAATGGACTTTTCATAAGAATTTTTAATGATTATTATAAATTTGTTAGCTTTTTGAAAAACTGAAAATAAAAAGTTATCAATTTTTTAATCAATAAGGATCATCTAAGCTCTTTATAGCTCTAGAATTTCAATTATTTTAGTGTTCAAATGTGTAATTTATTTACACCTTTGTAAAGGAGAGAACGCATTAGGCGGTCACGGTCCCATCACATTGTGAACCGTTCTGGGCTGAGCTGATCGTGGTCTTTTACAAAATCAGTTACATTTGGCAATTGCATACAATCCTGCTCACGCTCTCTTTTAAATAGTTGAGGTTTCAGTAGTTAAAAAAAATGAGTTATATGGAGGAACTTGGTCTCAATTGCAAGATTTTTTGAAAACGATCCGTGGAGAACGTGATGCGAGCGAGACGAGCTCGGGAATGTCTAGTGCGAACGCATACATTATAAAATGGGAAGGAACTCCACCGCAGGCGATCAAGACTATCACGGTCCGCGATGCGACGGGACCGCGACCGCCTAATGCGTTTTCTCCTTAAGTTTACTAAATATGAAAAGAAATTCTTAACTTTGTAGTTGATTCCTTTGGGTTTTTGGAAAAGTGTCAGGTATTTTTATGAGTAGAATCATCCCTGAAACATTTTGCCCTTAGCTTCCAGATATAGGTACCCTGTATATGAAAAAAACTGAATTTACGAAGTTTAGTGTTCAGTTTTGTGCCTATTAAATAACACTGAATTACTATTTAAAGATTTAGTCCTGTAGCCAGGGGGGTCCCAATTGCCTCCTTCATTTAGATGGAGTTACCCGTGTTTTTTTTTTTTTTTTGGGTTGCGGACCCCCATTTTTTTGGTTGGAGTTTTGCCAAAACTTAGTTTTTCATTTTTTTGCAGTTTTTTGTTAATAAAAAACTTTTCGACATCCGGGCAAACTTCTACCCAAAAAATTCGTGTTCTGCAGCTCAAAATACACAAAAAACATTTGGGTAACTCCATCTAAATGAAGGAGGCAATTGGGACCCCCCTGGCTACAGGACTAATATATAAATATAACCATCAGAAATATAAAATAAAATACTGCGGACTGTTTGGTAATATTCAAGAAACCAATTAATTTATCTTTAAAGAAATAAAAAATATAGCAGGAATCAAACGTTACACACCTGAAATTCTCCATAATCAGTTGAACTACTTTCGTGGCGGTTGATTTTAGCCTTTTCTTTTTTAGAACTCAATCGTCTGATTTTATCAATGCGTTTTTTCCTTTCAACAGAGAGGCGCTTGCTGCGGTCAGACATTGTAATTGTATTGGTAGCAGTTTCTATATAAAAATAAAATAACGGATGAGGGACAAGCATACAGATTTTTTGTGGAAATAAAGTATTTAGTGATCGATATGGACAGCTAACAGGACTGATTTTTGGTCAGAAAAATGATACAGGATATTTACAAGGTTGGAAAGGATTTGTTAAAGGTTGGCAAAACGCATTAACAATAACCGTTTCCAATAATCAAAATCATTGAAGCTGGAAAACGGTATAAAAATTAAAACAATTAAAGTTGTTAAAACATATTGACAACCTCTGGAATCGTTCCTGAGTTACTACATAAAATGAGGTGAATAGTTGTTGCAGTAAATGGTGTGTCATTCTTTTTGTAATAAACAGAAACATTGCTAATTCAGTTTAAAATCACTCAAAGAATTGCCCCTCGAAGTTTATCGACATAGTTAACACCTTGTATAAAAGTAATAAAAGAAAATTTGCTTTGCATTCATGTCATAATGATAGTTTTTTATTTATCGGTTAGGGAATAAGTAATGTCCGTTTTTTTTTCAAAAAGATATTTTATTTTTAACCCGACAATTAATTATCAACAGGCTAATCAGTGATTAGCCTCCATCCTTATTATGACCCCCTTGCAACGTTTAACAAGTTTCTCAATGCCTCTTCCGTAGAAATCCTGCAGTTGTGACTCGAAAAACTCATCCAATCAAACTCTCAACTCATTGTCGTTAAAAGAAAAAACGCGTAATGAGTTCGACAAAAGAGAGAAAGAGGTGAAAATCAGAAGGTGCGAGATCGGGAAAGTAAGGCGGGTGGGGCAGAACTTCCCAATTCAGTTCCCGAATGGCCCCGTTTTGGTCGCATTGGCAATATGTGATCGCGCATTATCATGTCGCTAAAGAACGTTGTATCGCTTTTCAGGTCTTTTTTTGTTGTATAGCTTCATGGAGTCGCCGTAGTTGTTGGATGAAGTTCTGGTCTTGTTCGCTTGCTTCTGGGGCTTAACCATCCTTTCTGCTATTCCAAGTTCACCTACAGACATCATTTTTTATCACCAGTGACAATACCACACGTTGATCGATGACGACACAGCAAACTAGCGACAATTGCGGAGTGTTTATTCTTATTGTTTTCATTCAAAAGCACCCAAGCACCGAGTCTTTGGGCTTTTCTCATCGAATGCAGATGGTTTACTACTGGTTCGTAATCACATCCCATCTCCTGAGTCAATTTCCTTGATAGTACAGTCATTGAAGCTGAAAATCAGCTGTAACCTCTGAATTCTTTGAAACTGCATGGATTTGCATGAAAATTTAGAATAAGGCTCATCTTAGGCTCAAGTTCAAAAGTGACATAAGCCCGATTGACGCTTTTTGTTTTTTAGGGGTAAAAACTACCCCTAAGTGAAAAAAATTGAAAAAATTAAGTTTTAAGCATTTTATTGATAAAAATCTTGTTCAAGCACAAAGATTAAATAATGTTCCATGTTCTCGAACATGTTTTATGATATATTTGATCTTTTCGACCCTTTATTTAACCCTTAAAAACTACCCCTATGCAAAAAATAATGATAAAAAATTACTTTTTAAAGATTTGGAATGATTAAATCGTGCAATTATTTAAAATAAAAGTTACCTTATAGCTAATAAAAGAATTTTTCCCTTTCAACCCCTAAAAACCACCCCTGTATTGACAAAAATGATAAAAAATTACTTTTTAAAAGCTTGGAATGCTTTAACGGTGCAATTATTTAAAATAAAAATTCCCTCATTGCTTATGAAAGAATTTGTATCTCATAACACTTTTCAACCCTTATAAATCACCCCTGTGCTAAAAAAATGATAAAAAATTACGTTTTAAATCTTGGAATGCTATAATTGTGCAATAATTTAAAATAAAAATTCCCTTATATTGTTTATGAAAGAATATTTTACTTTTGCCATTTTCAACTCTTATAAACTACCCTTTTACCAATATTAATGTAAAATATTTTTATTATAATCGATTTTTAAATATAATCAATCATAAAAAAAATTGCTACGCTGCATATAAATAATCACACTAAATTTTTTTACTTATTTTATTTGTATAATATAATATATAATATATAAAAATGAGAAAGCCTATTTTGCTCCGAAAAAATGTCATTGGTTTTTTTACCATAACTCGGTTAATTTTGAAGCTATAGTATCCTACAAAAAAGCATTTTAAAGATAATTTCAAGAGCTGTAAGATCGTTTGCATATAAAACCTTTTAAGTCCTTCGTTTTTTAAAGGGAAAGGATCGAAGGGCTCGAGACAGGTCGTTTTTTCACTAAAATGGATACTTCAAGCGGCGATATCTCCTTTATTTTTTATGCTATAGGAAAAAAAAAAGCAAAATATTTGTTGAAAAAAAAGCTACATTTTTGTTGTCTATCATTTTTTACGTATCTTTCATAGTTTCAGAGTTATTATATAAATAAGGCAATTTTTTTTGAATAATGAAAAATACGTTTTCAACTTTTACCGTACATTATTAAAAAAATACGCATTCTAAACCGGTCTAACTTCAGGATCGTATGAAAAACACTAAAACAAAACTAATTGTAAAGGGTCTACGATTAATTTTAATTCTGATGGAAATGGTACAGCGTTTACTGCTCATTTTTCCTTAAAAAATATGAGCAACCCATCTGTTTTTGACGATAACTCCCTCAATTTTGCTCTAATTAACTTTTATAAGTGCACAGTTTGAAGGTATTTTTGAGTACTACAAAAACTCCAGGAGCGTTATACACGTAAAATTAATCCTTTTTCCGTTATTTGACGTACATACATCAAATCGAGTATTCTCCCCAAAACAAGTCCCCTTCCACTAACCATATTTCGCTTTGTATAGGACGTACAACACTTTTTAAAAAACGATTTTCTTTATTTATAAGCAACATTTTTATCGTCACTGTAGCGCAGTCGGTCGAGAGTGCGGTGGCAAGCATTTCTCGGCTAGGCTGCCTACTCTGGTCCGGGTTCGATCCCCGGTGTCGGCACTGGCAATGTCGATGGATAATGGGTGTTTGTCCGTGTTTTTTCAAGTGTAGCCCCCTTCCGCACAAGCCTTTGGCTTTGGATTTGGGGGTTGTCTCATTTCTGTGGTGTGTTTTATAAGCTACATTTTTGTTCATTACACTTTTTTTTAATAAAATGCGAAAAATACTCTGAGTGTTTTTTTTTTCACTCAAAATTCCAAATTTTTAATCGTAAATAACTAAAAAACTATTGATTTGTCGAAACAATTCTTCGAATATTTTTTGCTCAAAATTTGATTCTCTATCGATTTCCAGCGTTATTTTTGAAAAAAAATTTCCACTCCCGAGGTGTGTCAACCTCCAACAGGGTGGAAGACGTCAATCGGCGCTATATCACTAATGTTCATTGATCTTTTTTCTAACTATCTGCCAAATTTCAAGTCGATCGGTTCAGTTTCAAAGAATTCGTAGGTGAAAAGCTTCAATGACTGTACTATTATCGATTGTCTTGGATTTTCCTAAAGGAGACGATTCAAATTCAACAGAACATCCAGAACAATTCATGTCTTTAAGGTTGAAATCACCTTCTTTAAAATGCGAAAATCATTGATGAGACGTTCGTTCATTCATTGTTTCATCACCATATATGGCACAAATGTCCTGAGCAGCTTAATCGGTTTTAGCATTTTCCCCACCTAGATTAAAAACAAAAAGAAAGCAGTTGGCGAAAACTATCGATTTTATCAACCATTTCAAATGAATGAAAATTCACAAAAATTAAATGTAACGCAGCAACCTAAAACTCAATCTGATAGAGCAATAAGTCCTCTTTTGAATGACATGTCAATTTAACATGCGTTCACCTGAATTTTTAATTTGAAAAAATGGACATTACTTATTCCCCACAAATTGTATTACCTACTTTTATTTAAGAACAAGTTTGAAAGAAATATCATTGCTCTTATGCCAATTTAATTTTAGTCACCTATGAAGTAAAAAATAAAATCTGTTATTTGACTACTTGCCAAAAATATGTTTGAAAAATTATTTATGTTACTTACTGCTGATCTTATTGTTCTTTCCCTCACTCAAGACTTTCTTTTTCACTTTATCTGTCTCTGGTGTGGTGAATTTTCTCTTTGTACTGGACGAAGGGGTGCTTGTTTGAGGAAAAAGATTCACAGCAGACTTTAAGGGAGATATGTGTTGTTCCCGCTGCAACTTCCTCGCGCTAAGCTTTTGCTTTCTTGCCTGACAAACCACAAAATTTCATATTTTAGTTGTTACAAATCAAAATTTTTTTAAATGAAATATTTTCATTTTAAAATTAAGCGCATTTACTGAAGCCCAATTCCAGAGCACATCAATGTAATTTCCTGAGATCATGTAAATCTCTTCTCCTCAAATAAAGTTTCATTATTTGCATACGTTAAAACATTAGTTCTTATAGTTTTTTTTTTAATAAATTCATTTAAATCATCGATAAACAAAAGGAACCCTAGAGGATATAAGTTGGCACCTTGAAATACGCCACTAGAATATAAGTAAGGTCTTGAATTGAAATTATTAATACATGCATGCATTTAATTACAACATATATCAGTTTTAGACAACCAAAGGCAAATTAAAATTCGCTAAAACGATATCTAATAATTTATCGTTAACGTTTCTAACACTGCACTAAATTGAAAAACGATATACATTTAATAAATTGAACAGAACTTAATCTCACTTCGTCACCTGCAAAATTAGGCTTATTAAAATCACCAATTATCAAAACTTTATAAGAGTTGCAGTGATTCTAGTCCTGTAAAAAGTGATTTCCAGTCTAGTCTTTCAGTCACTAAAAGCTACTTTTAATTATTTTGTAACAAATTTCAAGAAAAAATATTTATTGCTCGTCATAAAATTGATATTAAAGTTGTATCGTTTCCAATCTTCTTAAAAAATTTTCACTAACGAGTTCTTTTTAAGTGTAAGGTTCCCAACTAAACAATAATTTTTAATTTTAATGAATGAACCAACTGTAATTAAGAATAACAAACAAACATACAAATAATGTCACAAACATGAACACCAAAAATTGAATCATAATCTTAAATTTATTTTTTTCTTTTGGATTTGGAACTGCACATTTAAGAAACACATAAAAACATATTAGTGAGCATTTTATTTGTTTATTTAATTTATTTATTCTGGTGTTTATAATCCAGTGGCCTAGTCAGATTTTAAATAAAAAATAAATTCTGTAACCAAATTTTGTCATATTTAACACCAGAAAAAACTCTTAACAATTTATTGAACAATAAACTGAACAAGTTGACCATCAATTTATTTTATGAAGTGTAAAACAGAAACTGACTTCAATAAATTGGGGATTTAGAACATGTTCTAATTTATTGGTCAATTTTAGGGTTGTCTTAAGATTTGCAACTGTAAACATAAACCGTAAACCATCCATAACCAAACTTAAATTAAAATGACAAAGATTTGTTGATTGTGGTTGTCAAAGGAGAAAAAAATTATTATGTTGAAAGTGGTAATATTTTCATTATCTTTAATTAATCGGATAGAAAATAAGTAAAAAGCAAGAAGTAGAAGATGGTGGGTTCCATCATGGATTGGACAAAGAAAAACTAAAGGAAATTTGCACTTGGTGCAATACCGAAAAATTTAGATTACCTATTTTTAAGAATGAATCAATAATGTTTTAATAAGCTGTTGGAAATGATTTATCCATTAGTTTTAGTCGAGGAAATGAAACACTGAACCTCCGAAATTTGTGCAGTAAGATGGATCGTGATGCGGTTTTTTGCATTCGTTTCGTTAGAGCGTCCAGAAAGTTTGTGACCCTATGCGATCAATGAGAAATGAAAATTGCATCGGTGCATAAGAAAAATATATTTTTACAATTGCATCTTGAAGAGTTAAAATATAGAAAATTTATAACTCAGAAAATATTGACGGAAACGAGTTCAATTTTGCTACTCGGGGGTTTTTGGGGCCGCTGAACACGAATATCATGACGGCAACGGTCTCCAAGATACTAGTACCCAGGGTGGCCGGTTTCTATGCCGTCTCCTGGAGTTTTATGGAAATTCGTTATAAACTTAGCCGAAACTCGTTACCTCGGGGTTTTTGAGGTTGCTCAACACGAGTATCACGACAGTAACGGTCCTCGAGGTACCTAGTACCCAGGATGGCTGGTTTCTGTGACAACTATTTTATTCTTAATTATTTTTTATTATAAAAATACATTTATTCATTACAAAAAATACATGTTTTCAAAAAAATATTATACAATTTAATTGGAGCATATCCACATATACTAGTATGTGTAAGGGTATATATTAGCATATAGTAAGAGTAAAACGTAGAAGCAGCGGCCTGCTATCGCAGTCCTTACCTAAAATTTCATCAATACTGTATTAAAAGCGCCAAATTAAAAAAAAATTTTCGGATAATTTATTTAGATATTAGATAAAGCTTATGAAGATGACATGGGTACCTCGGAGACTATTATCGTTGTGATATTCCTGTTGAGAGACCCCAAAAACCCCGAGGTAACGAGTTTCGGCTAAGTTTATAACAAATTTCCACAAAACTCCAGGAGACGACGTGGAAACCGGCCACCCTGGGCACTAGGTACCTCGCAGACCGTTGCCTTCATGAAATTCGTGTTCAGGGGCCCCCAAAACCCTCCAGTAGTAAAATTCAACTCATTTCTGTCAATATATTACAAGATATAAAAATTTTTCATTTTTTAAAGGCCTGCACATACATACAATTTTAAAATGCATTTTTCTTATGCACCAATGCAATTTTCATTTCTCATTGATCTCATAGGGCCACAAACTTTCTGAACCCTCTAACGAATCGAATGCAAAAAACTGCATCACGATTAATCTTACTGCACAGATTTCGGAAGTAAGGCCGTTTTTAGTGCTTTATTTCCTCGACCCAACATTTCAGTTTTAGTTGACGAACAATGAAGTTCAAACTTGGCATCAATGAAATTGGCCAATAAATTGTTGTAAATGTTGAAATGTGTAAAGCGGCAATCAATAAATTGTGAAATTAATTAATTTGTTGGGAGGTAAATTGTCAATTTATTGTTCAATAAATTGTTGTGTAAGCGAAAATGAATTCATATGTTGTTTCCATTTGAAATGAATCACATTGTACTAGGACTGTGAATTAATTTTGAGGTATTTTTCTGTAAATTCAAGGCTTTATAGTGTACATTATTATTTGTCAAAGTATTGTCCATCGCTAGTCACTACTTTTTCCCAACTTTCTGGCAGCATACGGATTCCGCGTCGAAAGAACAACTCATCGTTTGATGCTATCCATCAATCGATCCAATTCTTCGTAAGATTGGAAGCGCAACTTAGCCAGGACGTGTTCCATGAATCGGAACAAGTAGTAATCCGCTGGAGCAATATCTGGTGAATATGGCGGGTGGGGTAAAACATCTCATTGCAGCGTTTCTAAGTATTTTTAGACTTTACAGACAAAATGTGGNGATAGAAAATAAGTAAAAAGCAAGAAGTAGAAGATGGTGGGTTCGATCAAGTATGTGTAAGAGTATATATTAGTATATAGTAAGAGTAAAACGTGGAAGCAGCGGCCAGCTATACCTAAAATTTCATCAATACTGTATTAAAAGAGCCAAATTAAAAAAAAAAAAAATTTCGGATAATTTATTTAGATATTCGATAAGGCTTATGAAGATGACATGGGTACCTCAGAGACTATTACCGTTGTGATATTCCTGTTGAGAGACCCCAAAAACCCCAAGGTAACGAGTTTCAGCTATGTTTATAACGAATTTCCACGAAACTCCAGGAGACGACGTGGAAACCGGCCACCCTGGGCACTAGGTACCTCGGAGACCGTTGCCTTCGTGAAATTCGTGTTCAGCGGCCCCCAAAACCCCCCAGTAGCAAAATTCAACTCATTTCTGTCAATATTTTTCAAGATATAAAAATTATTCATATTTTAAAGGCCTGCACATACATACAATTTTAAAAATGCATTTTTCTTATGCACCGATGCAATTTTCATTTCTCATTGATCACATAGGGTCACAAACTTTCTGAACGCTCTAACGAATCAAATGCAAAAAACTGCATCACAATCCATCTTACTGCACAGATTTCGGAGGTAAGGCCGTTTTTAGTGCTTTATTTCCTCGACCCAACATTTCAGTTTTAGTTGACGAACAATGAAGTTCGAGGTTGGCATCAATGAAATTGGCCAATAAATTGTTGTAAATGTTGAAATGTGTAAAGCGGCAATCAATAAATTGTGAAATTAATTAATTTGTTGAGAGGTAAATTGTCAATTTATTGTTCAATAAATTGTTGTGTAAGCGAAAATGAATTCATATGTTGTTTCCATTTGAAATGAATCACATTGTACTAGGACTGTGAATTAATTTTGAGGTATTTTTCTGTAAATTCAAGGCTTTATAGTGTACATTATTATTTGTCAAAGTATTGTCCATCGCTAGTCACTACTTTTTCCCAACTTTCTGGCAGCATACGGATTCCGCGTCGAAAGAACAACTCATCGTTTGATGCTATCCATCAATCGATCCAATTCTTCGTAAGATTGGAAGCGCAACTTAGCCAGGACGTGTTCCATGAATCGGAACAAGTAGTAATCCGCTGGAGCAATATCTGGTGAATATGGCGGGTGGGGTAAAACATCTTATTGCAGCGTTTCTAAGTATTTTTAGACTTTACAGACAAAATGTGGTCGAACATTGTCATGTTGAAAATTTACTTTATTGTGCCGCATTAATTGCGTTTGGTACTATTTTAAATCACTCAAAATTAATTCACGGCCCTAATATAATAATAGAATAACATATTAGTGACTTACATTTTCTTTTTCATCATGTAAATTAGCTAAATATTTAGAGACGGTCATCCCATAAGTCGTAAAAGAATCATTATGTTGTCGTTTATAATTATCTGCCATGCTGTTAAGCGTATTCTCAATTTGAGGGATTTGCTTAGCCAATTTATTTCGTTCTTTCTCTTCCTTTAGCAACTGACCGCCTCTGTTATTGTAACGATTGGGTCCAGCGGTAGTCTCGTCTAATTGAACCATTTTGTTCCACATGCGCTTGTGTTTTTCCAGTAGCGTTAACAACTCCCTTAAACACACAAAAATTAAGGCTATTGTCTATCGGTGTTTATAATTTATTACAGAAACTAAAAAACTTACTTATTCTCTTCATAATATTTTCTCCACTTTGTAACTTCAATGTCGTAACGTTCTAACAAGTCCTCAGTATAACAATCTGCTTGGAGGAAGGTACATTCTGTTTCTGTAGTTTGGCTGCGATGGCACCTATCCCAGAGTTTTTCCAATTCGCAGCGTTGTTTATCAACGAACACCTAATAAGCAGATAACAGTTATAACCTTACGAGATTTGAACAAAAATAGTACGACTTTCTTAAGCTATTTTTGGTTTAAACACAACAGATAGTGATAAAGCAACGATGGTTCACACTATCCCGTCTCGCTGTATTCAGGTCTCAGTTGCAGTCAGGATATCACATTGAAAAGGTATTTGCGGTTTAGAAGTAACTGGCTTATTACTGCATCCTCTGTCAAGAAGGTTTTGGGTACATCCCTATCATTGTGGCAGAGAGTAATTATTTTTTAAATTTTACAAGCAAATTTTCTTTGTATATTATCGAATGTCAATAAAGTTTTTTGATAATCTAGTGGATGTTATAAGACCCTACATTGTAAAACAGGAGATAATTTTGAGGAAGTCGATCAGTTAAAAACGCAAAAGCAAACCGGATAGTCCGAATGCTGAACTACACGTGTTCCATCTCCTTGTCCGGTAGTCCGATCGTCCTGCCACATCGCAACAAGTTGCGGCAGCATCCGGCAAGTGCGTTAGAACGGAACAAATGTGAACCATGTCATTTAAACCTGTTTGTCTTCTAGTAATAAGAACCGTTTATTTTTGCGATCCAGTTCATCCAGGTCAATTATTAAAGTGATCCCTTCATGAAGACCCGTTCATATGAACGATAACAAAATAGTATCAAATCCAATCTTATCATTCGGTGTTCTGTTTCATCGGTCTGTGCGCGATAGAATGCCTTTTTTGTCACGGCCTGCGGCAGCTAATATCTTCCTGCACCTGCACTATTGACATTTGATAGATTTATGGCCATATATTTTTTATATTTGAATTTTTTTAATGAAACAAATGCATTAATTAATTCCAGACACTTTTTATAAAATGTAAATCACGTCAGAAATTATATCGCTTTATGCTTATGTAAAAAAAAATAATACAGATATTGTGAGAATCTCAAATTTAAAACAATTTTTATTTAGTTTAGTTTTATAGCAGCAGTCTTTGCGGCAAGTTCGCTTGTATTATATTTCACTATTGGTTAAAATTAATAAAAATATCTGAAAACAAAAAAAAATAGAATATGGAATTTTGTATACTGAACACGGTGTTGGTGATAAGACAAAATGCAACTTTTGTTCCAAAATGCTGTTTTTTAAAGGAGGAGCAACTGACAATATAATTCAACATTTAAAATTAGCTCACCAGTTCAGATCTGCAGGCAGAGTTTACGCTCAAACGAACGGTGAGCGATAGAGTTACACAACTTGAACGGATCAATCACGGGTCTTTTAGAATATTTGTTCAATATGACCGGATCGTTCATGAACGACACCATTCCGTTCTATCAGTTGTTTCACCACTCCCTTTAAAACGGACAGTGTGGTCCAGCACTTAGAGTAACAAAACATTTTTATTAATAACTGAAACCACAAATAAATAATACTAATAAAATCTAAAATCAAACTGCAAAGTTAATTTAGCTGTTAGACGTAACGCAGAAACAAAAAAAGTTAACACTTGATATACTTATTTGTAACACCCTGTATAAAAAAACTATTCATTACCTTTATATTAGCTCTCCTCAAATCCTTACAACGTTTAATCTCTGTACGTAAAGCTTGTAGAACATCGACTGAATTACCACTATAATTCTGTTCAAAATATTCTCTCTCTATCTGATCGACATCAAGAAGAGTCCAATATTCATTGACCTTAATACGTGAACGAGCGATTTCAGCTCTGACATCTTTCTGTTCTTTGATCAGCATCTCCCGAAGGGTGTCAAGTTTAATCATATTCTCATCCGTTACCAAAAATGTTGTATTATCTGGAGAAAATACTTCTTTTTCGAATAGAGAAGAAGGTTCTATGTTCAGCTCCCTAGTTATTTTGAGCAATTCTTCTTTTATCAAGCAAAATTTTTCTAATCTGTTAAATTTCTCTGTTTCTAATTTTTCTATGTAATCCTGAAATTTTGCGACTTCTTCACATGAAGGAAGAGGATCATCCTTCAATATTCTTGGCTGTATTCCGAGACAAAGGCATAGATCTGATTGTTTTTTACGCAACTTATCTAGCTCAGTACGTCTTACTTGAATCAAATTTTTATATCTACAGGAAAGAAACTTGTATTTTAAGGAATAATTGAAAAATTAATTGAAAAATTAATTAAAAGATTTATAAATTTAATAATCAATGCTATGAATGTTTAACTTACTTATCTATATATTTTATTAGCTGCTCTTGTTCTTGAAGCAAACTAAGCCGCTGAGTTTTATCACCCAATACCGGCATGTTGACTTGCAAGGTCTGGCACAGTTGTTCAAATTCCTGTAACAGTTTTTCAAATTTTGATAAAACATCACCTTGCACCCTTTCCATGTCCGTAAGCAACTCATAAGACGTCTCTTCATAGGCTTTTATAAAAACGTCCGCCCATTCTTTTATGACGTCCTCATTTTCACCTATTTTTAATACTATCTGACACCAGTACAAAAACGTTTTGTTCAGACTTTCTTCTAAGACGGCCCACATATTTTTAGCCCAGGCAATACTGTTAACACTGCATATAAAAATAAATAAATATTCAACTTCCAACATAAGATATTATTTAATTAATCATCTATATCATTTTCCCCTTGCATCTATAGTTATTGAACAATTTTTAATTCAACACAAATTCAGCTCCTATTTTGAAAAAATAATAGAACTTTCTAAAAAAAAGTAAAAGGAAAGGATGTTGTTTTTATGATAGTGATTAAAAGAACTTGCTAGCAAGTTTTAAGATTTTGTATCCATATGCAGTGCAAAAAAATTAAAAATAGTACTACCTAAAGATATACCTACATTTGGTTATGAAACAGAAATTAGAAAACATTATTTTTTACAGGTTTAATAATTCTTAAGATATTAAAATAAATAGACAGCTAAATAAAAAATTTCCGGGACTCAAAAAATATTTTGCCATTGAAAGTGTATATAATATTTTCAAATACAAGTAAACTTGCCTTTTTCTGTCTAATACAGGTAGATCTAAACACATTTCTTTTTGGTTTTGCATTTTAGTAAATAGTGACTGTTTAGAAAAAAAATTGAACAACTTCACTTAAACGACAAAGTATAACTATTTTAAATTTTATTAACCGTTTGTTAAATATATTGGTTGATGATAGAAGTGGGAGTAAAACCGTTGACCTTGACCATGACCACTGTTATTTGCAGATGTGGAAGGACATCTTAACGTGGGAGTCCCATATTGGTTTTTAGTCCTGTTCGTTGTGTCTGCTTGACGTAATCCAACTCAATCGGAGTATTTTATGGGTGTTCGTTGAAGCCGAGCACAAAATCTATGTTGTTTTTATGCAGGAGTACTTCACTCTGATCAATAAGATCATTGCTCTGCTTACTCTGCCATTTGTGCTGGAGCAAAGGGAGTAGAGTAATCAGCCGATTTAATTTTTTTTGGTTGATACATCTGACCTATGCCGGTAAACATGGGAATGCACGGCCTACAAAGTAAACTTAAAACACCACGTACACGGTCCGTAAAAAAGACTACTGACCGCGACAGTCGTGACACACGTATACAACAAAAACAAATCAAAGCATAGGTTATCATAGAAAATTTTTATGATATGTTATGGTTATGTTCAAGTCGTCTTAACGAACACGGGCCAATTACTCCAAGATCTGACTGCTCTACTTTGTGATATAAATGGATCTGGTGACGTCACTGCTCCATACCCTTCATGATCCAAGATCTCTTAGAGCCACTAGGAGTAGTATCAGAGACAACCCTGAGACGGTCAACTAAAGAGTAAAATTTTAGTTCTCCTTACTGCACTGGTCCACTGTTGTGGAAAGTGAACGTAGATGACGCGCACATCGCAGTTTAAAAAAGCGCGCGGTGCATTTCTAGGGTTCTTATATATTTTATATAAATTTATGTTTTGATTATAAAAAATAAGACGAGACAATATAAGCAAAAATAAAATTTAATATATAAATAAAATACAACACAAATGGAACAATGGATAACATTATTTGATTACATATACATGGTTACATGGTGAGAAAAAAAGTAATGTATCAATAACTTAACTTAATTTTTCAAAAAACGTTCCAAAGAAAAGTTGCTAGGTAACAAATACGTCACATTTTTGTAACCTTTATTTTATCATCGGGTGACAATACGGGAATACGAAACTTAAATTTTTTCAATGGCAGTCAAAGATTTTTTGTTTTTTTTTTTTTGGAATCACACGATGTTAGTTTTACTTTTGTTGATATAAAATATTATGTGGGTTACATAATTACATACCTACTTTGAAAAAAATCATCATAATATTTTCATTTCAAGGGAACATTAAAGTTGTAATTTTTTGTAAAATTTAATTTATTTCATTTAAATCAGATAATTAATTTAGTAAATGTTCATAGTGATGTACATTAACTATTAAACAGTGACCTAACCTTCTTAATTTTTCAAATTTTTTGTAACGTTTTCAACCATATGATGATGCAAGAAAAATTCAATGTCACAGAAATATGACGTATTTATTGCCTTGGTGTTTGTAACTAAAATGTGCCTAAAATTATAAATAATTATTGTTAATTGTATCGATGTTATACAGATATATTAATGCAAGAATGTTTTTATTTTCCGTTTTGACTCCCTTAAATTTTTGCGAAACCGCAAATTTTCTTGGTTTTTTCTTTTGCACCACCAGGGAATTCCTATTTTCCATATCGCTCGTGCAATTTGCCCAGTAATCATTTCTATATGTGTTTCACAGGAAATCCATGAAAAATTAACAACTTTCATAATATGTTCCATGACGATACATGAAATTTTAGATGTGTTATAAATATTTTCGAGAATATTTTCTAATTCTGTAATGGCCTGCCCTACGGCAACTACTAATGATTCCGAAGGATATTGTAAATGGTTTGTGTCTGACCACTCTCTAAAAGTTATATATAAATTATGCGGCGTGTCGGAATTTGAGAGTAATTCATTGGAGCATATATCACAATTTAAATGCTCAAGAATTTTTTTTGCGATAAATCCACTTACATAAGCAACTGACAATGTTGCTGTTGTCCCCTCTCTTACGGCTATAGCAATCGCTTCTGCGTTATCATTCAACTTTTCGATTGTACTTGCCTGAGATGATGGTCCAGCCACTTCTTCAGCCTCGCCGTGTAGAAACTGGGTTAAATTTGTTAATAAATGATGATCGTCATCTTCACAGTTGCTGCCAATTATTTTTTGTTGTGTCAAACCATTTAAAATCTGTGTTTTTAAAGATGCCATAAACTGTTCGACGGTTGGATTATCTCCGCTACCACACCCACCCCGAATACTACCAAATAAATTTTCCAAGGCGTCTTGATTTAGAGAACGTGTCCTTAAGGAAGTTGCTCCATTTGAATGTAGGTACTTCCATATCTGTCCAATAGCATTCAAAGTAATAAGCCATCCAACTTGAGAAGGTGGTTTAGTTGATCTTAAACTACCTGTTGGCGTGATCCTACGAAATTGCCATTTCTTTACCATCTGAAAAGATTCTCTCCAATATTTAAGATGAGCTGACTGTTCTGTCACACAACATTTAACTTCTTTTCCATCAGGTGGTGAAACTTTACTACCATTGAAACTATCAAAAAGGTTATCCACCTGTTTCACAAATGTGGCTGTAGCTATAGAACGTTGCTCCAATTCACCTTGAAAATTAAATTAACTGAAAATTGTATACTTAAATTTGTATGCTTAATTTACCTCGACTTAATAAGCTATACAAGAACGCAGCTACAGTATGGCTCATTAATTGCGCAGCAATATTTACCTTCATGGAATATTGCATTTTTGGCGCTAAATGAACATCTTTAATTTTATGCATAGCACGAAATATTAATGGTGACTTTTGATCAATTTTGTAGGCTTCTACAATATCATTAAATCGGACTTCCATTATTTGCTGACTATCTGCAATTTCAATAGGTAGGAAAACGTTATGTTTTCTAAATAGTGACACCGTGCATTTAAGTAAGTGGGGTGGGTCAAACATGGTATATACTTTTTTATCACCAATGGCAATATAGGGATGCTCCACAGATGAACCCATCTCCTTTAAGGCTTTCACATTAGTAGATCCCATATCACAAATTAATGTTACCACATTCAAACCTGCCGTTCTTACGCATGCTTCAAAAACATTAGTAATGCAATTTTTCAATTTATTCGCAGGACAAGGTCCATTTGAAAAATAATATGCAACTGGTTGTTTCCAATTATGCAATAGACCTTGAACCATAAATACTAAGGCTTTATTTGCCAATTTTTTTGAAGGGTTACCTTCATCGAAGTCTTCAAAACCCATGATACAATCATGGTGAGTGTCATACTGAAGATGTTCTTTAATATCCATTTCGTCAAACAATAACGCACAAAATTTGTCTTCTTCGCTCTTCACAGATTCAGCAATATGTTTGAACAAGTGATTATTTATGCCAGATTGGAATGGCACCTTTCGTAACATTGTTAAAAGTGTATTTTTTGATGGAAGAGCCACAATTCTTCTTAAAAGGTTGTAACACCTTGGGCTTTTTTTAAGCAAAGCTAGGGAAATGATTTTTTCTTGTGTCGTCCATCTTCTGCCATGTGGTGCTCTTCGAGCACAACGCAGCTGAGAAATAAGGAAATCTGCTGTTGTACTCGACATACCTTTGAATAAATTTTTTACTACTGGACTCTCTTCAAGATTTGTTAATGATTTTATATTGTTTGCCTTCAGCTTACAGATTCTTTTTAATTTTCTTATGTGTGCTTCTTTATTTTTCACCATGCGGATTAAACGCTGCTTCTTCGGAGTTGTAGTGCTATATGACACATCTTCAATGCCTCGGAATTGGCGATGGCTAACAGGTGTAGTTGTTCTCTCTTGCAGGCCAGAACAACTTGGAATAGGGTCTTCAGTTACTAATTCACCTGTAATAAAGTATTGCCAACTATTAATATTTTAAGATTGCAGTCATAAAGATCATGCAAAAACATTCTACTGTTTCTCCAATTTGCATACATGCTATATAGTCTTAAGAAAATGAAAATATGAGTATAGAAGAACCCCAATTATCCAGACTAACGTGAACCAGCATGATTGCGGATAACCGACATTTCCAGATTCAAATTTTTGCTCGTCATATAACCAGACAAGAGGTTACAAAGTATATTCAAAATAAACCTTTATCCTTCTCTCTTTTCAGACTATACAACATGTCAGGCTACAAACATAAAATAGAATAACCACGCAGCTATCTATGCTTGTGTTAGTACTTGCTAAAAACTATCTAAGTATACCTATATTAGTACTTCCTGAAAGTTCTTCCATATCAGATACCTGCATGATTGCTTCTTGGGTTTGTACCGTGCATGGAAATAATGTGGGAATAGCATTAGGAAGCAACTTCCTAGTTAAAAGACTCCTGTAACATTCTTCAGAAAAATGTCTGCTGCAAATATTATAATTACGAAGTGATATGCCAGGTACATATACCATACCCATCGATTCTTGCCATATCTTCGATCTACAATAAAGACAGATTTCAATCAATGAAATACTTTTTAAATGCATAAAAACTTACTTTTGTTCATTTGTTGGAAACTTGTGCATTTTCTCCACTTCATAATTACTAAATCCACAAACAATACAGAGTTTTTCAGACATTTTAACTAATACTAATTCAATAATAATAAAATACACACTAACACACGCTTGCACATCTACTTACACAGGAACACAGTAACAAACAATATGGTGGAAACGGATGTTAGGATGTTTATAAACAAATAATCGATAACCAACCATCAAATCAAAACTCGACTATAGACCACGAATAAAAAGATTTCAACATTTTCAACCAATCAAATTGCAGCTCCACCCGCGCCATCTTCAACCAGAGTTGAAAATGTGCAACAAAGATGTCTTAATTCAAATACAAGTGCGTGTGACAAAGATGCAAAATATCGAAAAGGCGAACTGAACTTAGGTGAAGTTGACGGTCTCAGGGTTGTCTCTGGTACTAGTAGCCATCTAGTAGCAGCAGCCATTGTGACAAATACTTTGTTGGTTAGAATTTTATTCAATCACATATTTCTCTAAAGTTTTAAGAACTATGTCTAAAGGTTACGCTGATGATTACGAACAGGTACATTATTTCACTAATGTCTCATTTAAATATATTGATGTTTAAAAATTGGTTTAGTTACACTGTAACATAAACATTTGTTAACAATTCCCATGTGTTAGTGGTAAATAATTAACATAACTACATACCTACATGCTTTGCTGGAATTAATCCCATAATTCAGTATAAATTTCATTATAAACTTGACATTGATTAAAAATTAAAACTAGCAATGCTAACTTGATTGTGTGTTACAGAATTATGAGTACAACTACGATGACTATGGAGCACACACCGGTGATCCAACCTTGGACGAATACAACAGACAACATGTAAAGATGCCCGAGGGAGTGAAAAATTTCTTGATTTATTTTAGAAATAATGTAAACGAGGGNCATACTGAAAATAATACCAACCTATCTCTTGGTTTTTCTTTCTTGTACTAGAGAGCTGTAACCAACCTGACATCATGAAATATTAAAAGAAATTTACAATTCTAGCCGCCCTAATAAAGAATATTTACAGATAACATTTATACAATGGAATATTTCATTGCGTTAATTATTTGTGTCAATGTGATTTAATAAGTGAAATTTACATTTAGTTCACAATAGTAAAAACAAATACCTAAAAGATATTTACGTTTGTGTTTCTCTCGGACGTGTTCTAGTTGTTTAAGTATGGAGTATTTAAAAAGTAGAACAGTAGATGAACACTTAAGGAGTAGTTCCCAGATATATTCTAGTTGTTTCGTCTTGTGTTCGCAAAAACTTATTTTGTTAAATGTTATTAGTGTTTTTATAAGTAATATTTAATGTTATTTAAGTTTTAAGTAAGCTTTCTTACTTAATATCATGAATTGTAACTTTTCGAACTACCTAGCTTACAAATAGGGTGTTTGCACTGCATATATGGGAAAAGTCGAGTTGAATCCTCAGTGACAATTATCCTAATTTAGTTCCAAGTACTTGTAATCTTAGCTGCAAGATAAAACAAAACAACGATTTCGTATCCTATCTAAACAAAAATATACGTACATGTTAATGTTAAGTGAGATTTGTCATCAATATATTTTTCAATAATTAAATAAATACACTCCCGAAATATAAGAATATTTTTTTGAAAAACTAAGCAGTACATTAACTTTAAGAGGAAAAATATGTTCATCAAAAAAAATTATTACAGCAACTTTAGAACTTTAGAATTAAGAAATTTATTTTATGATTTATGTGGCAACCATATATTTATCCGTCTTATACATCTCATAGGCAAAATCTTCAGTGTGACTGGGATCATATTCTAAACCAATATAATCAATTTCTAGAGAAAAATCTCCTCCATGCCTTTCACCAGCCGTGATACCAAAACTGGTAATTTTATTTAAGGGTATCGGAGCTTGCCTGTCTTGTATTCGGCCTTTAGAAGCAAGGAAAAACTTTGAAAATGGTATCTGGAAAGGATAAAATTATATTGTGTAATGAATTTCTATTAATCACGTGGCTTACTCTTGCAACTTGCCAATAAGGCCCTCCTCTTGTAAAGAGTACATAGTGATACATATCATTCCAAGTAATGTCATAGTATCCTCTCGTATTTATATTTAACAAGTATGATCTACCATCCCCTCTTATTCTCATAACTAACATATTGTAACTAGTCCAGTCCAAGTAGGCTTCCCGTTTGAACGATTTCTAAAATAATAATTGCACATTTATTTAAATCAAAAGGAAAACTGGAACATTCATTACTCTTGCACGTAGAGTTCTCATATTACAATATCCAGCACGTTTTACTCTTCCATCCTTAGGTACTCTCATAGACAACTCACCATGAAATAAACCTTTCCCATGATTTGTAAGTGTCAAATTTGCTTTACTGAATCCTTCATTATTATCACTATCACTGGTAACTATCCATTTTTTTAATGACTCGTCTTGTTCAAATTGCCATTTTACGTCTACTTCACCAGGCCGGAAAACTATCAGAGGGTCAAATTCAAATCTTTCTTTGACTTCTTCAGACCATAAGGCTATTTCCTTTTTAAGTTCCTGAAGACCAGTCCTCATTCTTTCTTTAAAGGATGGGACTGGTCTATTATCTTTATAACCTCCTTTATCATCGTTCTCCCAGAAAGTGTTTAATTTTGCAGAGGTTTTCAAAAATCTGGAAGTTTTAATTGCCTTTTGTTTACATAGTGTACAAACGACATTCTTGTAAATATTTAACATTTAAAAAATGTTTATTTCTAACCTAAAAATCAATTCTTATTTTTAAGGTTAAAAATTACTCTTCTTCCTCTTCTGACTATAATTTTTAAGGAGTTTTCCAATTGAAATTTGAGCAAATTCCCTCCGGTGCTCAGATTACTATCTTTCTCCTTCTTATTCTTATGGTTTTAGTCAGAGTAAATGCAATTCTAAATCTAGATCATTACCCGTTAATATTCATAAAACTCTAATTAAACTCCTCACTATATAAATTAGCCTCTAGTATGTAGAATATATAGGGTGTATTTAAATGAAGTAGCGCAAATGTCGGGTAATCTTGAGGTCAATATAATCAAAACGATCATTACGGTAAGTGTAGCTTTAAGTATATTTGACACAATTCAAATTGATTCAAATTTTAAATGTGAAACTGATCCTAACGTACATTACCGTCTAATACAGCAAGTAGCAGATACTATAGACAATTTCAAATGAAAAATTGAACTTGCATTTACTAATTACATGTTAACGTTGAACAAAGAATCGGTCGGTCAACTGATTTTAGTCGATAGGTCAGATTTTGAAGTACGACTTTGGTGATCGAGAGGTCGCTAAAAAAAGTAAAAAACTACTTTTAGGAATTTGAAAATGTAGTTAAGACGGATGTTTAAGTGTTTCGCATAGTAAATAAATAAGAGTAATTTCAAGATTATTTATTTACCAAATAATATATAAGCACAAATGTTAGACAATTATAGACAAAATCCTGAATAATTGGGAGGTTGAGCTCCCACACCTCTCCTGTTCATCCTGCACGTGTGTTCTTCTAATCTTTTAGAAGCGTCGGTAACATCCGTAACATTTTTAGTGGACCAAAGTTTCTCAGCGGCTGCCGATGCTCTAGGCCAAACTCTAGCTACAACGTTATATTCGTTGACTTCTTCTCCCCACATACAGGCTTCGCCACCAAGAATTAACTTCTGATGTTCTTCATTGTCTGTGGCAGCATAAGGATCACAGGCATAAAAATCGTGCCAGTCGACGTAGGAAGACATGTGGTCCAAGTACCAGCAAGCAGAGAGAAGACCTTGTCTTCCTGACTCTACAACCTTAAACAAATTTTAAATTTGGAATACTTTTATGTACATGTATTTGACGCTGGACTATTTCATTTGTGTTCAAGAGACAAGTAAACAATGTTATTTTGTTTTGAGAGAATACCATTTTATTTAATGTAATAGTCGAGTATCAGTTGTATAGGGTAATAATAGGCAGACAGTCGAAAACGCCATAAATAAAATGAATGAAGCAGCGGATAAAGCCAAGTGTAAACTTTCAAAAGAAGAAGACTTTTTGAGTAGTACCTACTGGAGGTTCAAACCACATACCTAAGGTATGTGGTTCAAACTGCGTAAACTGAAAATCACAGTATAACATATACAAAGACGGTTGCTGATAACAATGTTTTGCATACTGCAAACGCACACGTTTCCAATATACTAGGCGCAGTTATTTGAGGTTACACTAGCTTATCCAGCGGTGGGGTACGAATATTATTAAAAAAAATTCAAAAAATAAAGTTTTTACGACGGAATTTGAAGAAATAATATATCGATACGTGTATGTAAAGGTCAGAGGAAGCCTCTGTATAAATTAGACCACTCAAAGTTACACCCTGTATAATTATACAATATTTAATCTACTATACAACTTAACCAGTGAATTGCCAGAAATACAATAAAACTTTGCCAGTAATTGCAAGGAGTTTTGTCAAATTTAGCCAGTAATTTCATATCGATCTGTTGGTATCACTGCCAATATAGTTTGCATTGAATGCGCAGCTTATAAACTCAATATAGGTTTTTAGAATGACGGTGTTTATTTATATAGGGCCTTCAGAAATGATTACAAGTCACGTGACCAGTAATATTGTTTGGAACAGTAACTTTATTTCCTTCATGTTGGCAATTAAATTTCGGTAAAATTAAAAATGATTAAAATAGCAAGATCAAGGTTACACTAAAACACAAAACGTTCTGTTTCATCGGCTGTAATTGGTGTAATTTGTTCACGAGATTTTATTCAACCAATCAACGATCGCATTATCTCGGTAGTAGACGTAACCGGTTTGTCATTGGTCACTGTAAACGCATCATTAATACTAGTGACGCCAAGATTTAGGGAATTTTCGTTACCAATTTTGGGTTGCCTAAGCTCGGAAGTCACATGGCTTGTAAACATTTAAGAAGGCTCTCTATCTACAGAATCTGTTGTCGGTTGTTTGTTAATTCGTTGTGAATATATTTAATTACTGCTGCGTTATTTATATTAGTGAAGTAGTTTTTCAATTCGAGACATGTACAATGTGCAAAAAAACAATTTATTTATTTAAAAAAAATTAATAATTCTGCCTCACAGTCACAGAACAAAGAAGAATTTACTCATTCTTCTTCATTGACTTGCACAAAGTCACATTTCTTTCGCCGCTGAAAACACGTATAAATATATAAAATATATAAAAAGTATAAGCCCTTATTGATCTGCGCCGAAATTTTGAAAAATGTTTTTAATTTACATCACTCTCGCCTCGGGTAACCAATTTCACAAAGGCTTTCAAATGAACTAAAATTAGAGTATAGTACATACTCCTTTCAGTGTCCACTGCCACAACTCCTTCCAAACGTGAACGATAGTCTCCTGTGGCAAAACAACTCCATTAACAAAAACCTCTTCCCATACGATGGAATCGGAGTTCAAATTATCCACAATGTTGATCAACTTCTGGATGTAATAACTCTCAAGCGTTACAAAATTCTCGGACATGTTATTAGCTTCCATAAATTCCACAATATCTGGATTACTACGCCTAAAACACAACGTAATATATAATGCGACGGGTTTTTCCATTAATTAATTAACTAACCAACATTCGAAACCGACTTCATCTCCCCCAAGGTGTATATACGAATCGGGGAAAACTTCTCCAACTTCTTGGAAGAAATCTTTCAAAAATTCATAGGAACTATTTTTCGTTGGATCTATAGGTCCCAATTTTCCAGTCTTATTAAGTTTGTTGTCGGTATAACATTCAGTGAGGAGATCTTTTTTTCCTTCGCCCCAAGATCTCGTATGTCCTAAAAAAATGTGTTTGACAACCTCTAAGGAAATATAATCATATTTTACCTGGTGTGTCAAATTCTGGGACCACGCGAATGCCTCTTAGCCTTGCGTATTCTATCACTTCCTTAACATCAGCTGGGGAGTACACCAAGGTAGAGGCATATGCCCCTTTTGCACTAAAATGAGTAAAATTTTAAAGCAGTTTTTATAGTAGTCATATAATCATAATCTATTAGTAGCATAATTAAATAACTTTTATTTAACGCTAGGTACATAAGAGGTGAAAAACTTTTAAAGCGGGGTCTAGATTCCTTAGATTTTTTAGAAGAAAGAAGAGAATCAGCTGAAAATTAGTTAATAGTCCAAGCAAATAAAATTTTTACTCGAAAAAAGTCCTATCCGCGAGATTATTGTAAAATTGTCTAAAGGAACATAATACAAGACATCTCTCATCTCGTGAGTCAAAAAATTTTATTAGCTAACTTTTCTATTTAAACAAATAAGTGAAGAAACCAGTTTTTTTACTTTGCAGGGAAAACCATCAATTTTAGCGAAAAGTGACTCACAGACAGACAGCTTGTAGGGAATAAAATTATCTACAAAATGAGACTTGTTAAATTAAAATCGGTTAATAAACAAAAAAGTTATTGCAAAAAAACAAGAAAAGTACCCATTTCTTCATTTGTTTATAACTATCGCATTTATTGTTAAAATTTTATAAAACCTATGACAAGTTGAGGGTTTTGCCGTACTTTAAAAGTGTGCCAAAAGTGGGCGCTGTAGG